ATGCCTGATTTGATCATAAATTCCAACTTGAAAGGTGCCAACACATACTAGATGAAGCACAACATCTACATGACAAAACACATAACAAATCAAGCACCAATTGTCATTTTATCATGTATAAGTACCAATTTCATTCTTGAACAGGCTGGAATGAATTTATCAACATAAAACCAATATCAACTAGTAGAAGCCAATCATATTACCAGCATAGTACAGTACGATGTATTAGGACTTGGGTTGACCAACATCAACTCAGTACAAGCAGCGTGCTTTGACAAGGTAATCCGCGAAGCTAATTGCATACATGACCCAACAGATTCAGATCCGACTTTCTTAGGACATCTAAGAAGAATAAATTGAAGCAAATAAAGCATTTTCTAAGCTAAGCACTCAAAATATTGCAAAGGATTAAGAAAAGAATCTATGATGAAGACATCTCAATGCCTCAAAATCTAATGTAAACAATCCACAACATGTTAAACTTGATTCTTTGGCATTCCTACTTGTTGACATAATCTTTGAAGCTCCTCAATCATGTTCACCAATCAAAATTGATCTTCCAAGCTTGTGCAACAGACACAATTGGTCACATCACCAAAATGATTCATTTAGACGTAAGGCTTATGATCACGGAAAGGACATTAGAATCAACCACCAATAGGTTGATCATCATCAAAATAAGAATTCCAATTGTATCATGGCAAAAAGACATGACAAAACAATTCTGGCACAAAACACCTTGTTGTACTAGTTGGCATGCTCCTGCTGGCCAGCGTAATCCACAAATTGGCCTATCCATTTGTTAACGATGTCAACACTGCTCAATGAATGACACAAACCTTTTGACATGACATGTGCTGATCCATGATGACTAGCACATCGGTCTTTGATCTGAACCTTTTTAGATTCTACTGATAAAAGCTACTGAACTATACAGGAAGGGCATGGCAAATCATTTTCCGCTCCTAAACTACTACAATTGTTGATTTTGTAACAGCCAAAAATGAAAATATTGGAGATTTCATGTAAATCGCTATCAAGATAACAAAACCTAGACTAAACATAACTCACAGACCCAAAGATGATTCAAACTATACCAAAACCTTGACCATAAACTCCACTGCATGACAATGTGAATGATTAGTGCAATCAAGAGATCAAGATCTACAAAAGTTATCCTTCATACTCCAACCAGTGTTCTTAGAGGCTAGAGGCTAAATTACACCGAGAGAAACTATGATGACTACATTGATCTGATGTACCACAAAAAGCACCAAATTGAGTTAATAAATCTAAGTTCTCATGCTATCACAAGAGCAATATGTCTAATGCCACGCTACCAAAAATACTTTCTCCACATTAAAAAAATTATATAATCGGACTATTTCCCTGCCTGGATATTTTCTAACTTCTTCCTCTTGAATTACCTAAAGATCCTAATTTCTAAAAGATCATTGTAAAAACATACTAGCCTGCAGCAAATAACTGAAACAGATATTCCATTGTTATGCTAAATATGATTTCAAATAATTGCTAAATTGATAAAAAAAACTTCAACAATGCCTTCCTTAATGTTGGAGTAACTAACAATGAACCATATATGTGTTAACAATCCTCCTACAGTATTCATCTTGAAGCATTATGGCTCCTATCAGAACTCGGTGTGTCCAACAACGGACCAGAATTACCTAAACAACAGCCTGTCAACCTCGCTAACAAATCAAACCACAGGTTGATTATCCTGGTGGCTATCTGTAGATAGCCAAGGATTTTCTGCTACCAATCCACTGACAACCATTGGATGACATGTCAGTAACTAGCAATTACCATCTGATGCTCGACCAGAGGCAAAAATCCACCAGCAATAAACTCATCGCAATCTGTATGATTGCAGTCAACAACACAGAATTCACCATGCAACGTTAAGAATCTCCCTGGTGACATAATTGGAAGACCAATTGATGTTTTTAATAAAATTTCCAAAGGAAAATTTCTGCAGTTGCTTGTCTAGTCCACTGAAAACAAAAACAACAACCAAAAGGTTAAGGCTAATACAAGAATTGTCATTAAGCAAGTTTATATTGGAAATAAAAAGGAAAAAAAATAAAGTAACTCTTATCATTTTGAAATCAACAGCGAAAGTGATAAATTCCTTTCAACCACCAAAGAGAGCATTTTGTGCAATAACTCCGAACCAATTTTTAAATGAAATATGAGACAGTCAACCACTATCTTTATGTCTGATTGCTAGCACCGGTGATCTTAGCAAGATAAATATTTTCAAGTGCCTTGATACCAAAGTAGCGAGCAACCAAAGAAAATCTGGATAGCTGTCAGATACCAACAGTATCCAGCCTCAGCATCCTAACCATGAATACCTTAGAGGGATGTATAGAAGGACTGTGTTGAAACAAACAGCTATACAGGTGACAACAAAAGGAGCCAAATAGAAAAGATATTGTCCATAAGAGAACAAGATTAAAAACCATGGCGACAAAGACAAGTCATGAAGTCACCGTCCAAAATAAAGTCATCCAGCAGAGAACAGTATAGAATACTGGATGACACTTTCTTTTGTTTTCTAAACCTACAACTTTGAAAGACAGAGGAACATCCAAACATCAAGATCAACAAGGTATTTTGATAAATATGGTGCTCTGATAGGAAGGGGTATAACTAGTTTAAGATGCTTCTGTATATGTTGCCAAGAATAGCATATCTTGAATACACAGAACATACAAAATAACTTTAATAAGACAAGAGAAAGATTACCGCATGCAACCCGGACTGCCAATCCAAAGTCTGAAAGCTTCATCTTCCCTGAGGTGGTGAGAAGAATATTCTCTGGCTTAATATCACGATGAACCACACCCATTTCATGGCAATACTTGATAACCAAAATTAACTCCTTCATCAAAATTGCGGCTCTGCACTCCGAATACCTTCCTTCCTTGACCATCTGGTCCATCAACCGGCCCCCAGAGCATAGCTCCATAACGAGATGGAAGCTTTTGGAATCTTCAAATACGGCCTTTAGGGTCACAATGCCCGGGTGACCAGATACATGCTGCATGATCTCCACCTCACGGTGCACCGTCTCCTCACCATTCTTAAGCAGCGTCTTGCAGGCAAATTCCTCACCATTGACCTTGCTCCAGCACAACCGCACAGACCCAAATCTCCCTTTCCCGATCTGGCGTCCAAGAACGTACTCATTCTCCAGTTTCTTCTTCCGTCCGATCCTGGTTGCAGATTCGACGCACCCCAGCTTCCTCTTTAGGCCGCGACCAGGGGAATCAGCCGCCGATCTCCCGGATGCAGGAGCGGTCATGACAACTCCAGCGGCCGTTCCGCCGCCGCAAGATCCGACCTTCTCATCCCCACGGCTGCACGATCCCACCTTTTCCGCAGGGCAAACCTTCCAGTGCTCGCTGCACTTCTTCTTGATCTGGCGCGCCTTGTCAAAATCATCGGACAGGTAGAATCCAACATTCTCCGAAGACCTAATTTCCTTTCTCTTCCTCCTCATTTCCCCGCTACGCACACCAGAAACGGAGATCGATTCCCAGTGTCACCGACAACAACAAGAACCGCGACGCCGCTTGTTCTTCTTCTTGGCACATGGGGGGGTGGGATTCGGAGGGCGGCGATCCACGAAACGCCGATCCCCGAGGCGGAACCCTATAATCAAGGCGATGGAAGATGGATCAGAAACCCTAGAAGAGGAGCGGGCGATGTGGATTTGGGGCCGCGGGGTTTTGGGAGCGAGCGAGAGTCCGAGAGAGAGAGAGAATGGCAGATGTGGGGAGGGGAGGGCTTTTAATGGGACCGCGGTGGCGTTGGCTTGACGCGATGCGATGGTTACGGTTCCAGTGGCGGTGGGAATTGTAACGAACGACCCACAACGGGCCCGTTTGATTTGGATCCAACCCGACTCGACCCAGATCCGAACCCATTTATCCTAACCGGATCCGCATGTTGAGTTCAACGATTCATCGAGACCGTAGATTAGCTAATTGGAAAAGGATCCAACATTCTTGATTGGATCTGATCCAAAACATCTACTCTTGTTCGGAGCAAATCATGATACGATCGACTTGATCATCAACTCTCGAGTGTTATCACGTCTATAGAAGATGAGAAGAAGTTTGTTTTATATAATATTTATTTTCTAATGAACACTGATTATATCATATCAAGTGTCTTAATAAGGAAATATTTCTCTTAAATAACATATTGATATGTTGAATTGATATATTATTATTTCTAGATTAATTGGGTTATGTGTATCGAGACATAAGATGCTTCCGTTATATGTGAATGTATCATGTCCTGACTATTTGTACAAGGCAGAACTCTTATCATCAACCGAATACGCCTCATATCTCGGTACGGCCAAACCAAAGCATTACTAAGTTAGTTATTAGGATGACCAATCTGGAGTTTCCTGTCATGTTCTCAGGATTGAGACCATATTATCTAGTAATTGTCTTGCAATCATAATCAGTTATAAACGGAATGCGAATCTTAATGCGAAAATATATTCCTTCGATAATTCTAGTGTTTCGATTGACCCGACGTGTGCAAATGTCGGAACCCAATCTCGTACCCCAAATGGGGTGACTTACATGCCATGTGATTGGGCACAAACAGTGGGCCCTACCTTTAACTGGACCAATCATCATCACATCTGTAACATATTGGAGCGAGCATTTGACCCACTTGTTTGTTATATGTGGCACCGTCGCATTGCGGAAGCACTACTGAGATGATAAGTGCATGTCTGTAGACCACGTCAATCATGCTGTCCTCGCATGAATATGGCTCAATACAGTGAAAGGTGGAGCCCGATATTAGATCCAGTGAACTCTTGCCACGTGGAGAGATGGCATTGCGCAATAACTGATAAGTGTATGTCTGTCAACCACGTCAATCATGCTGCTTTCGCATGGCGATAGAACAACTGAACAGGGCAAACAGTAGTGTTACCCGTCTCGTGCATCTTTATCCGTTGCCCCCTCCACGGCAGAGGAAGGAAACGGAGGGGAACAGAGACGGGGGTGATGGGGAATGGAGAGGAGAGGATTGCCCTTCTCCAAGGGGAAGTCAAGGAGGAGGAAGTGTCGGGGACGGGGTTGGTGAGGAGGTCTTGGATTGAGTCCAGGAAGCTATGGAGGATCGTAGGCCCGGCGATCTTTGGCAGGGTGGTAATCTACAGTTTGAACGTCATCACCCAGGCCTTCGCAGGCCACCTCGGCGACCTCGAGCTCGCATCCATCTCCATCGCCAACACCGTCGTCGTTGGATTCAGCTTCGGCCTAATGGTATTAACCGTTTCCCGTCTCTCTGAACTTTTCCCCAATTCTTTAGATCTGGGAAGAGGATATGTAGTTGCTCGATTTGCTTGGAAGCCTATAAATTCCCTTTCTGTCATGTTCAGTAATCGTCTTGACCTGTGGCATCCGATGGAGGAGCATGTTTAGGGGACATTGCTATGATCAAATTATCTTCAGTTAAATGAGGGGAAAAAAGCGTTTCTGCTATATTAAGTTGAATCCGACATTCCTTTATTTTTTTCTCAGAAGAACGAAGGAGGATCAATTAATCGACTGATTAAGATGTCATGTTAATATCGTAATGTTTGATGGAATTACTTCCCCCAATTTGACGATTCGAAGTTCTTCCGACTGTTGGAAACTGATTGCAATCATCAATTGCAGCTTGGAATGGCGAGCGCATTGGAGACACTATGTGGGCAGGCTTTCGGCGCTAAGAAGTACCATATGCTAGGCGTGTACCTGCAGCGATCGTGCATTGTGCTTTTCCTGTGTGCGGTCCTCTTGCTCCCGATTTACTTCTTTGCCACCCCCATCCTGATGCTCATCGGGCAGCCGCCCGAACTGGCGGTGCAAGCCGGACAAGTGTCGATGTGGTTCATTCCGCTGCACTTCTCCTTCGTCTTCCTCTTCCCCCTCCAACGATTCTTACAGTGCCAGCTCAAGAACTCGATCATTGTCATAGTTTCAGCAGTGTGCCTTGTCGTCCACCTGCTCGTCACTTGGCTCTTCGTTTCGAAGCTGCAATTTGGCCTAATTGGAACTGTATTCACCCTAAACTTCTCGTGGTGGGTTGGTATTTTCTGCCTCTTTGGGTATATCGCATGCGGAAGCTGCCCCGACACATGGACGGGCTTCTCCATGGAAGCCTTTGGGGGCCTGTGGGAGTTCATAAAGCTTTCGGCTGCTTCTGGTGTCATGCTATGGTTAGTCCCTTCCCTTAGTGTCCAACTTCGAAATCATCCAAGATCACTCATCTTTAATGGTGATATATATGCTTAGTGTACCCGTATATGTTCTTCTCACTGTAATTTTTCTTCATTTACTTGCCTTTCAAGAACTGGCAACTAAAAAAAGCTTCTTTAAATGTGTCGTAACCACAGCTTGGAGAACTGGTACTATAGAGTACTGATCTTGATGACGGGGTATCTAAAGAACGCTGAGATCGCTGTGGATGCCATCTCTATTTGGTAAGCTGTCTGAGCCTTGCAAGTATTAGTTATGCCTTTGTCTTCTGGTCAAAAAACTAATAATGTTCAGTGGATCTTGAAACAAGTAGGGACTTGACCTGCTTCATAATTCTTGTTCAACAGCATGAGCTTGAATGGATGGGAGTTGATGATACCTTTGGCATTCTTTGCTGGCACCGGGTAAGTCAAAAATTATGGTTTGAGAAGAAAACTCCAAATATTTCTTCTTTTTCCTTATCCCTCCATTTGCTTTCTTATCATTTAAATTTTAATTGCATTAGTTATATTTTATGGAATGATTTTTTGATTTATTGCCTGACTTTCTTCATTATCTATTAAATGAAGGCTTAAATGTCATTTAAAAAGAAAAAAAAGAAATTAACAAAAAAAGTCTACAACCATCATACATGCCTGCTTTTCTTTTGCAGGATCATTTCTTATTTATTTTCTTTGTTTTGCTGTTCTCAAGATACGTTCTTTAACCAATAACTTTTGGAGTATATTTTCTTAAATTTTTTTTAAAAAAAAAATTCTATCAAAATTTAGATTATTTTTTTATATTACTGTTCTAATACAGTTTCCTTTTCATCCTGCTTTATGTATTAATTTTCCAGCTTTAACTTCCTCAAAAGAGTGAAGGGAAGCTACTTTGTTTGAAAGTGATTGCAACAATCATACACCCTAAACCTCAAGATCATTTATTATTTATTTATTGATTTCTTCGGTTTGCTGATAAAGTTCGAAAGAATTAAATCGTATCTCGAGGTTATGTTCTTTGACTTTAAGATAGTTTTGATGTTTTTAAATTATACTTTCTTAATACTTTTATTCTATTTTAAAAAATGGTTACACTTTAGATAATTTTTTATATTATTGTTCTAATATAGTTTCTTTTCCATCTCCCTTTATGGACAACTTTTTCCAGCTTTAATCTCCACCAAAAAGAGAAGTAGAAAAGAACTGTCCATGTCAAGAAAGTCGAAAGAAAGTGGGAGTAAGAAAGAGACAGCTCAAAATAATTCACAAAGTGACAGTAGGTCTTGATCAACCAATAAATGTTATTTAAGACAGTAGCTTGTTTTATTCACCGCGGACATCCGTTGCCAGCGTCCCCTGGACCATCGTTGATGCTGGCAACAGCATTGATTTTATCTGCTACGTCGTTGTCCTGCGGCCAGTCACCTGCTACAGATATGGGGACATTTCTGAACCCACCATTTAGTTCTGGAGCGCACTACGTCACTTGTCATATGGATTATATGTTATGCACCACATGGATTGGGTTCCACATAAATCTTTCGCCCAAACAGGACATCAAATGTATGGTGTCTACCTTTCCTGGAGACTTAACCTCATTTCTCGAGCGTGCCTATTGTGAGGTTATTAGTAGAGGCACTATTTGTTCGCTAAGTTTATGTAAAAAGATTAATGAATTTTGATTAATTACTGATTTAATGTATATTAGTTAATAATCTTATTAATGTTAATAGAACTCGAATTAGATTACTCAAGTAATGAAGACCACTAATTAGTGCTTTGTTGTCGAGTTTGTGGAAGAAAAATTATACAATATGCAGGTGCAAAATGCATTTGAAGTATCTAAATAATTGATTTGACTTTAGGATAGTAAATATATTGTCAAAATTATGATTTGAGAATTATGCACTCTTTGTCTCCACTGTTGATATGATCAGTCTTCGTGGTTAACTCGATGTTGTGAAACTATCTATCATTTCTTTTATAAATAAATATATATATATATAAGAGAAAATGTTTGATTAATCATGAGGAAATTTTCATTACAATCTGCAAAATATTCATATTTCATATCTCATGTTTTGTCTAAAATATGTAAAAGGTTGTGCCAGAATTGTGTCCGAAAAAGCTAATTTTTGCTCATTATAGACGAAAAATAACTAAAAAAAGTTTAAATGTTAGAATTATTTGGAATGAAAAATATCTAGAAAGACCAAATTTTTATAATATTGATTTTTTCGTTGGTTTTTCTGATATATTAGAGTGCGGGTGGCCAATGAGCTCGGAGCTGGCAATGGCAAAGCTGCTAGGTTCGCCACCATTGTATCCGTGGCTACTTCTGCTGTGATCGGCCTCTTCTTCTGCTTGCTGGTCTTGGTGCTCCATGATAAGTTCGCTCTCATCTACTCATCCAGCTCGGTTGTGGTCGAAGCCGTTGACGAACTGTCCCTTCTACTGGCGCTCACAGTTCTCCTCAACAGCGTCCAACCTGTTCTTTCCGGTGAGCACTCTCCCCTGTTCTGATATCTTAGTTTGATCCTTCTTGTGATTCTTCAGCTTCGCTGACCTCAACGTTAAACAAGTTTGCTAGTTATTCAACATCAGAAACATTCTAACCACACTTTGTCTTCTGCAGGTGTTGCTGTAGGGTCAGGGTGGCAGGCTCTGGTGGCATATGTTAACATAGGAACATACTACCTTGTTGGAATTCCTGCTGGAATTCTCATGGGATGGGTCTTCAAACTTGGCGTTCTGGTATGTTTTGCTTATTTCCATGCACGCTACTTCATATCGAGCTTTAGTCGATACATTACATAGTGAAAAGAGAGTACACTTTGGAAGTAAAGAAGAGACTCGAAAAGAAGTGACTTGTTGTCTGAAGCCTTACAAAAGAAAACGAAAAAAATAAAACTATGAGAGTCAACAAAGTTCTCTGTTATATTCATTTAGTTGGCCACAATTTTTGCAACTAGGATAATTTTAAAGAAGGGTCCCCATTTTAGATAAATTTTAAAAAGTATATATTATTAAAGCTGACAAGTATTTATGGAGTCCAAATAGGAACCAAGTTACTGGAAAATAAGACAATATTGAAGCTTAGATCACAACGAATTCAAGTATGAAACTAAAAACTTAGCAATTAAAATTTGATTGTTCTAGAAGTGCCTTATATATCTCAAGGTTATGGTAAGGTAGAGAACAAAGAATATAATTCGAGTGCTTCTAAATTTCTTTCTAGGAAATATAGAGAGGATGAGAGAAAAGATAAGGAAAATTATTTAAAATTTATTTGAGAGATTGTATAAAAGGACATTTATAGACTAGCTCAGGGAAATTTATAGTTTTTTTACATCTATGATGGCAAGGAGCACCTTAACTATTTTTTTATTTATGTTTTTTTTTAACTCTGAAATTTTCTTTTCATACTGACGTATTCTCCTATATATATAGCCAATCATTATCATGTGCATCTCTTCCTTCTTTTTTTCTTTCTTTTGGAGCTGCTATAATGGGTAACCTCCTGATTTATTTTAGTTGGTCAAGAAAGCATAATTTCGATAAGCTTATTCTACTATGTATTTTCTTATATGGTCATTATTCGTCTAATTTAAGAAAGAATAATTGCTTCTTGAAGATTTATTGACTTTGACCGACCAAAACTTACAATGCAGGGAATTTGGGCTGGAATGATCGGTGGAACTGCAGTCCAGACGCTGATCTTAGCCATTATGACCATCAGATGTGATTGGGATGAGGAGGTGAGACTGCGGAGACAGTTCTTAGTTCTCATTGTCTTCCCTAATTCTCGTAGTGTAGTTGATTCCAAGTGCGCCGGCTGTCTAATCTGCAGGCCAAAAACGCCAGCGCACGCATGGAGAAATTGGCTACTTCCAGTAAACCATGAAGCAAAGACCGTGGCAGCGACTTGGAAGTAGATATTACCATGGATTAAGATGTTTGATATCAATCACTAAGTTTAGGAAGAGAAAAGGGCATCGATCGTATCACCAGTAGGTGAAAACCTTTTTTTTTTGTTAGTGAAAGTTACCATAGATTAATTATAGTTGGGCAGTAATCACACATCTTTTGACATCAGGTCCAGTTGATCGATCCGATTCTGATAACTTTGTTGATGCTATCACGAGGAAGAATCACACCTAACATGATGTTGCTCCTGTCTTATATTTGCTCAGCCGTACATGCTTGTGTTGGCATTTATCAAGCTCAGAATTGAATTCCCTGATGGTGATGTTGAGAGATATTATAATGATGGTTATGATCCATGCAATATCTATTATGATTATTGTTAACATTGTTGACAAGCGCATATAGTATTATACTGAGGACATCACACTTATTGAATGGGGCCATGAAATTGATTAAAGAGGGGCTTGCCGTTTATCAACATCACATCACATCCATGTGATCTCTTCTTCCCAACTCAATCAAGCATCGTACTGAAATGTTGCAGTATGTCATCAAAGACTGACTTCTCTTTCATTTTGAGGACTTGGGGATCTCTCCATGGCTATGTCAACTCAACCAACAGCCTGTAATCGGAGGGACAGAGAAGATAAGGATTGGGAGCTTCATAAAGGCTACATACTTTTCACAGATCAGCGTGAGATGGCAAGCATGATGAGATGATTTCCTATGATCTATTGGAATCATTTGCTTCAATAGTAAAGAACGAAAAGGAAACCTATGATCTATCGGACAACGAGATTTGCTAACTGGTCTGGTTTTCTTGGTGGAATAGGCGTCCAATGAAGAGGAAGGACTTCACCTTGAAAATAAAATATTTTCAAAATATTTTCTTTTTAAAATATTTTTATTATCTCCTCTTGATTTTATGTGGTTACAATACAAAATTATTAGACGTATCATCATAGAATCAATCATATTCGGAATATTTAGAACACAGACATCATATTCTTACTTTAAAATTTCAAAAGTAGAAATTCTTAATTTTCTAAGGATAGAGTGACTTTCTCATTAATTAAATTATTTTATTACTTTGGAGATAAAACACTAAATGCAATTGAAGTGACTTCCCCACGTGAAATGCATGTGAAGAGAAAACAAAGCAGTAGCAATCAATAGCTCCATAAAAAGACACCTTCTGCTCCTGTTTGGTCAACTGTGCTATATGTCACCTTTTTCATTCCTGTTCATAAACTTCTACCCTCATTATATATATGAGTATATATATTATGACTGTATACATGTATGTGATCGAGTTCCTTAGAGTGTAGGGCACCACCACCACCGCCACCACCATCAATCATTGACCTCTTCTTGCAAGGAAAGAAGGAAGGTGATCAGATCAGTGTGCAGGAATGGCTCGGTCGCTTCTCTCTCCCATGCCCTCAAGCCCCCAGTTCTCCTCCATCTACCGCCGCCTCGCTCTTCTTCCTTGCCGTTTCGTCGGGATCTCCACGTCCTTCCGCGCACACCGACGGCTTCTTTTTCTTCGGGCGGCCGCTCAATCCCCAGGCCCCGCTGGCGACGACGCTTCGTCTCTAAGCCAAGAAGATGCACAGTACTCTCTCTGTCTCTCTCTCTCTCTTTCTTTCTTTCTTACGAATCTTTGCTAAATGGTTGCATGATTTCACTGACGTAGGAAGAAGAATTCTAAGACTGCAGCTCCAGATCTACCAAGTCTTCCCTACCCCAACATACCCATCTGGTGCTGCTACCGTACACCATTAGTTGCAGTGACACCTAATAATCTTTCCTCCTCTCCACCTTCTGAGACTGTGATGTCTGCAGGGCGAGATGGGTTTTGGGGGCCGCAGTCATCCTGGCCGTGCCGTTCTACAGAAGGTTCTTAAAGATCGAAGGTAGAGATGATGCGCAACTGATCAGCGCCGTAAACTTGTCGAGCTTATAGTGCTTAAGCTGTGGGTCTCGGAACCTGATGTTAGGTGAGGTGAAGAAGACGGCTAAGGCGGCAGTGGGGGTCGTGGAGAAGGTGGCCGAGGCGACGGAGAAGATAGCGATGGAAGTAGCGGAGGCGCTGCCGGAGAACACAAAGCTGAAGCAGGTAGCTTTGGAGGTGGAGGAGATAGCCGAAGTGGTAGACAACGAGGCAAAGCTAGCAGAAACCATCCTTGAGGAGGTACTGCCTGCCTCGTTTCTCATCTCACCGCCATACAAGTATGGGATTTGGTAGCTCGATCAAAGGGAGATGCAAATGTTGTGAGAGTTGACTTGAAACAGCCGGTGTTGGTGCTTATCTCTCATGTCGTGCAGGTCGACGACGTGGTGGAGAAGGTGGACACTCTGGTTGAGCCCATCGTTGACGAATTGGAAGGCGGAGAAGGAGAGGTGACAAGACAAGGCAAAGATTCCAAGGAGACCATCTGAGCCATGTTCGTCTGTCTCTAGTGTCAAATCATAGGCATGGATCTTTGTGTGCATTGTCTCAGAACGATATTTTTCCCTTTTGTTGTTATGATTGACATATGTTTTGCTGAGATTTGGAGACTGGATCACCAAATATGCATATGATTGCATGTAATAAGAAAGAAGATTGATAGAAATTTATGATTCACGTCATTTAAATGTCAATTCAGTGGGAAGGCCACTTGGGATTGCACGCCCACCCACCACCAGCCGCGGATTCCCTCCGCCACCCACCGCCCACCACCCCGTCGCAGTGAGACATCGCTTTCCACAGACCATCAATCGCGAACACCCACCAGCAACAAAACATTGACGAGAATTGAAGAAGATAGAAAATAATAACATCGATTATGATCGCGATTAACGCATTAACCTGAGATCACAGATCACAGTTTTGGTTTTATGGTTTCATTTCAACTAAACTATGATGAAGCAATTATGGAACTTTTATTCCTTTCTTTGTTCTTCAAAAGTTGGAAGATAATTTATGCTTTCGCTTAATTATTCCAAACATTTATATTCTCTTACCCAACTCAGACTTCATTTTTGGATTCAGTCAGCCTCAAGTAAACTGAACCCATATATATATATATATATATATATATATATATTCTTTACATATATATGTCTTCATGGGTTTTAAAAATTCTTTATTGACTTACTATATTTTTCTTTACATATCCCTCATTTCTATATTTTTCAAAGAGAGTCATTTCCCTCAATAAAAATAGCAAAATACCCTTAAAAAGGTTTTTGGCCAAAATCACTTAAAAACTTATACTCTTTTTCTTGAAATATTACAAAATATCCTTAATTTTCATCCAAAATAACTTAACATTTTCAAATAAAGTATTTTGTGAAACATTAATACATATAATAAGATAAATAATTTAGATATGAGAGAATTTGAATAAACTAATATAGTGTTTTTGAATATGATTATAGTGTTAGTTTAATAATTAAAAAAAAGATTGTAACTCTTTTAGTTTAACACCAAATCGTTTTGACTAATTAAGAAAAACTCAAAACTTGTAGCTTTTCTGAAAAAAGAGAATGGGACTCCAATCTCCCTATCTAATTTATTGAAAGCAATTACACGTCTGATTTGAGTATCTAAAAGAGGAAGAAAGAACTTGAGGTGTCCCCTTAGTTATAGGACAAAGCTGTGGTCCTCCAACACATGAGGAGGCTCCCGGGCTATCGGTGGAGGACCGGTTCAACTTAATCTCTCCTCCGATGCACACTTTAAATGCAAGCCAAAACCCTCTCTCACATCCATCCATCAGCTAAACAAAGGGGAGCAGCAGCATCTACAGAGAAGATCCAGATGGCAAACACCAAGGCCGTCGCCGTCGCTCTCCTCTGCGTGATGGTGCTCTCTGTCGCTGCCGTCGACGCCGTCTCCTACACGACGGTGGACAACTCGTGCTTCTGCTTCTGCATGATCGAGCGGTGCATGGTCACCCCCGGCGCCACCAAAGAGGCCTGCGCCCCCCCCTGCGACGAAGGCTGCGTCAAGGCCGGCCTCCATGGCCGGATCGACGAACATGACTTCTGTGGGTACCGATGAGTTCACCGTGCCGGGTTGGAGGTTCAACCAAGCTGTTCCTTCTCTGATACCTTCATCATGTTACTGTGTTTGCCTCAACCTTGGCATTGCCACTTGTTGCCTCTGATTCTAGTGGATGTTCTTGTTGCTTATTAATATCATATCTCTTTTCTAAATTATGTTCGATTAAAAATTTATTAATGATTGAGTTTATTGGGCACACAGTAAACAATTATGCATCATATGTAATCTGTTTATACAACGCAATGATAAACCCATCCCGAACAAATACAAACCTTATAAATTACTTTTAACTCGTGATTGAATCAGGAATATTTGTGTCATGACTTGGCAGGGGTGCGCCAAGCCCGTGCCGTAGTGCAACGCATGGGCTACGCTCGAGGGCCCCGGCAGCAAGCTACCGTGGTGGGCCCTCCCCAACAAGAAATTAATTTAATATCATGGTGAGTCAATGACCCACGTATCAGATATTAAACTGATAAGAACAGATACTACACTTGATCTTAGCCAAAAGGCCGAGAAAGGTATGCTTTCGTAAGGAGCCATCGACCTCCTTTTATAGTCTCCTGTCTTGCTCTTCGTTCTGTTCCCAGCGATGTGGGATAACTCAAGCCTCACCACGACGAACAAAGCCAAAACCATCTTCTTGGTTTAGAAGAACGATGGGTTCCATACTGAAGATGATGATGGAATCCACGCCTTCAAAACTCTCTTCCTAAATCTGGACACCAGATAATTAGAGTGTGTCGCCATGAAGCTGTCATCACTGAGACTCCCTTTGAGGTCAGAATGATGTGTATGAATGAAAAACAAAAGAGACAAGCTTCAAGCTGTTAGGCGATGGTTCTCGATAGATTTCTGATCATCGAGTGAATAAGGCTGATCGATTATACCACTTAGACAAGCTATGAAGAGTGTCCCATCGAAAGAGCTTGTATGCTCTGAGGTCCTATAGATGAAGATTCAGCATCCAAGTGCGTCGAAACAGAATCAATCATGTTTGGTGTATATAGGTGAAACCAACGTGAATCAACTGGAAATGCAATAGCATATTGTGATTGCTTATCGATGAGCGTTCCATTCGGATCAAGAGAACTAACTGACAGAATTGCACTCACTGATCCACCGCTGCATATCCATGTAAACAAAAGACTTTTGAGAGGAGTTGTTGAGAGTCGTTGTACAAGCAGTTATGGAGGAGAATGAAGGAAGAAGACCAAATGACGAAACGTTCCACGCAGAGATGCCAGAGCAAGAACCGGTTTGCTTGCGGAAGAGTGGTGGTAGTGCCACCTCTCGCTTCCTCTCTCTATTTCAGACTCGGCGAATCACCACTAAACGAAGGATGCCACAGCTGCGGTGGATGCTCGCTCGGCCTTCGTCTTCCCCGCCTCGATCTGGGAAGCCAAGAATTAGGCTCTTGTTCTTCTCCGGAAGCCTAATTGTTGGAATAATTTTCTCAAAGAAAAGGGAGATCGCAAAGCGATGATAATTTCGACGAGAGAAAAAAACGAATTAAGAAGGATTAGGAGGACCTTTTTGTTCTTCTCGACAGGAGAAGTTGTCGCTTCATCAGGACCAGAAGATGAGGGGGAGGCGGTCGACTCTGACGGCTCCGGCAGAGTGGCGAACAAGAACGTCGGCGGAGAAGAGGATGGCGAGATCATGACGATCGGTTCAAGATGGGAAGCGAGTCGAGGGGAGAGACAGCGTACGAAGGGGGAGCCAGGAGTGCCGGGCGAGTTGCTGGAGGATGGGGATTGGGTCAGGGAGGAGGTGGTGGATGATGACGAGGAAGGGGAGGGGAGCGGGGAGGACAAGGAGAGGCGGTAGGCGGAAGGGAATGGAGAGGAGGAGCGGGGCGAAAGGTCGAAGCGAGAGAGGGAAGCGACGACGGCGTGAGGGGGAGGGGGAGAAGGCGGGGAGCAGGGAAGAAGATCATAGACGAGGAGTTTCTTGCGGGAGCGGGTGGTGGGTCGAAGGCAGCGACGCTTGCGGATGCCGAAGCAGGGGCAGGGCCCGACGAAGGCGACGGCGGAACCCTCGATGCGTAGCTCCGGTGAGTAGAGTTGCGCCATCGTGGCTGCTTCCGGTGACATCTCGATGATTTCCATCGCTCAGTGTTTCTCGTTCTCTGTTCTTGAATGGATGATTTAACATGGAGGGCAAAGGCTTATAAAAGGAACATGGTATTCCTTACCCAAATATATACCCATCGACTTTAATCGTAGACAAAATAATACAGGCCAAGATTAACCAACCAGCCCTTGGTAAAGAATCAGACGGCGCAGTTTAACTCTTTAAAATTGCGAAGTAGGGCAATATTTAAATCAAGCTTTGATAGGGTGCGCCAGGCCCGTGCGGTAGTGCAACGCATGGGCGACGCCCGAGAGCCGCGGCAGCAAGCTACCGTGGTGGGCCCTCTCCCATAATAAATTAATTTAATATCATAGTGGATCGATGACCCACGTATCAGATATTAAACTGATAAGAACAGATACTACACTTGATCTTAGCCAAAAGGCCGAGAAAGGTATGATTTGAAATGGAGAAATCGACCTCTTTTATAGTCTCCTCTCTTGCATGTCGCTCCGCTCCTAGCAATGTGGGACTAAAGATGCGTCTACATTTGGGCTCGTGATGACAGCACAACATCAAGAAAACACCACTAAAATCAGTTCAAAATTCCACTCGAAATATTAGAATTATATATGAGCTAAACAGTCTAAAAAGTATGACTTCTTTGTGTGGTAAAGCCATCATAACCAGTCGAATGCCATCAGAATAAGCCAACAAAACCTACCAAGTCAGCACTCGAATATCATAAGAATGTTCTTAGCTTCCCGATCGTGAAGTTGACTTAAAATTGTAGATAAATAGGTTTATTGATTGTATAAAACTACATTATTGTTGTGGACAGTGAGCTGAAAATAACAAAAGATTGGTTCTAAAAACGAGAAATGCATTTGCGTTTGTAAGTATCAACGGGGATTAAGAGAGTTTACTCGAAATCTAAGAAGGCGTAGACTAACCAACCAGCCCTTGGTAGAGAAGTAGGGGCAACATTTAAATCAAGCTTTGATAGGGTGCGCCGGGCCCATGGGGTAGTGCAACGCATGGGCGACGCGCGAGAGCCCCGGCAGCAAGCTACCGTGGTGGGCCCTCTCCCATAATAAATTAATTTAATATCATAGTGGATCGATGACCCACGTATCAGATATTAAACTGATAAGAACAGATACTACACTTGATCTTAGCCAAAAGGCCGAGAAAGGTATGATTTGAAATTAAGACATCGACCTCTTTTATAGTCTCCTCTCTTGCATTTCGCTCCGCTCCTAGCAATGTGGGACTAAAGATGCGCCTGCATTTGGGCTCGTGTTGACAGCACAACATCAAAAAAACACCACTAAAATAAGTTCAAAATTCCACTCGAAATATTAGAACTATACAAGAGCTAAACAGTCTAAAAAGTATGACTTCTTTGTGTGGTAAAGCCATCATAACCAGTCGAATCCCATCAAAATAAGCCAACAAAACCTACCCAGTCAGCACTCTAATATCATAAGAATGTTCTTAGCTTCCCCGATCGTGAAGTTGACTTAAAATTGTAGATAAATAGGTTTATTGATCGTATAAAACTACATTATTGTTGTGGACAGTGAGCTGAAAATAACAAAATATTGGTTCTAAAAACGAGAAATGCATTTGCGTTTGTAAGTATCAAACAGGGATTAAGAGAGTTTACTCGAAATCTAAGAAGGATTAGATTAACCAACCAGCCCTTGGTAGAGAATCAGACGGCGCAGATAACTCTTTAAAATTGCGAAGTAGGTCAACATTTACATCAAGCTTTGATAGGGTGCGCCGGGCCCGTGCTGTAGTGCAACGCACGGGCGACGCGCGAGGGCCCCGGCAGCAAGCTACCGCGGTGGACCTTCTCCCACAATAAATTAATTTAATATCATAGTGGATCGATGACCCACGTATCAGATATTAAACTGATAAGAACAGATACTACACTTGATCTTAGCCAAAAGGCCGAGAAAGGTATGATTTGAAATGAAGACATCGACCTCTTTTATGGTCTCCTCTCTTGCATGTCGCTCCGCTCCTAGCAATGTGGGACTAAAGATGCTCCTGCATTTGGGCTCGTGATGACAGCACAACATCAAAAAAACACTACTAAAATAAGTTCAAAATTCCACTCGAAATATTAGAACTATATAAGAGCTAAACAGTCTAAAAAGTATGACTTCTTTGTGTGGTAAAGCCATCATAACCAGTCGAAGAATAAGCCAACAAAACCTACCCAGTCAGCACTCTAATATCATAAGAATGTTCTTAGCTTCCCCGATCGTGAAGTTGACTTAAAATTGTAGATAAATAGGTTTATTGATTGTATAAAACTACATTATTGTTGTGGACAGTGAGCTGAAAATAACAAAAGATTGGTTCTAGAAACACGAGAAATGCATTTGCGTTTGTAAGTATCAAACAGGGATTAAGAGAGTTTACTCGTAAAGAACCTTTAGTGCACAAATTAACTTGATTAAACACAGTGCCAGGGAAAGCTATTTAGTTGTTGTAGCCTGTGGTATGGTATAGACAGAAAGTATCATCGGATCTTTCACTTGATCCACCAAACCCAAACCACATACAAGATTGAATCAATTCTTCCAAGTTCAGAAGCTTATACCCTCCATCAAGATTTCAACAATAAAGGCATCTGGCAATTACTGTGACAACTCGGATGCTTCCAGCAACGACTACTGAAGAGGCAAAGCATCATCTAGGAAGCCTTACAGCACACCTTACTTTTTGGAATCTCTTGCGCTGGGCCAGGGATGATGATCTTCTTTGCAGGCAGTGTCGGTGCACTGTTGTTGCTCTGAGGGTCAGAGGTCAGGCTCTTCTTGTTGACGATGTTGAAAATCTCAGTCAGCACAGTCTGGAAGGCGTTCTCCACATTGGTAGCATCTAGCGCTGATGTTTCCAGAAAGAAGAGGTTTTCTTTCTGAGCAAATTCCCGGGCATCTTCCATCGGTACAGCTCTCTGGCCCTCGAGATCAGTCTTGTTTCCAACTAACATGATCACAATGTTTTTGTCAGCATGGCTCCGCAGCTCCTCAAGCCACCGAGGAATGTGGTCAAAGCATTGACGTCTGGTGATATCGTAAACAATCAAGGCCCCAACTGCTCCTCTGTAGTATGCACTTGTGACAGCTCTATACCTGTACTAGGTAAAAATCATCAGCAACGATTCATCACATCCAAAACAAGACGGCAAACACAAGAAGCCCCAAATCATCAGGTAATAAGTGACATTATCACAAGAATCATATAAGAAGTGAGTTCAACAAGGTAACAAATAACTAACATAATAACACAGACATAACGATAGCAGGTCACAAGTAAAATACGAATCAGTTAGCTAATCACTGTCTAAAAACATGGGTATCAATATGATCATCATATGGAATTCAACAAGCATTAGGAGCCTTCATTATGCTGCAAAGAAACATGTAGCTCAGATGCAGAATAAAGTAAATTCCATGCATCAATACCTTTCTGTGAGGCGCACTTAACTGACAACCTTTCATGCCTCAGAAAGAGGAGACGGAGAGAACACATAATTTTAATATATTCTCTAGAGTTTTACCAATCTATTCCAATAGAGACACTTTAAGCATCACTGCTATGCCACATCCATCTTTTTCAATATAATATTAATGCCAACATATGTTTCCTATTAATGAAATTTACATGGTTCAACTCCATGAAAAGGCACAGTAACTATTAAATATATACAAAATTAGATCAAAAGAAATTCAAGTTGTACTGAAGCATGTATCTTGAATATAAATTTGTGTATCTAGCAACCAAACAGATTTCTGCAGCTGGTAGTATCATCTTATGTTTACATAGTTTTGATAAACAATGTGTATAGCTGCCTGACATATAAAGGTTGAATAACAGGTTAAGAAAATGTTGTTTGTATATCAGTAATTTTAGAAAAGGATGTAGACAAATTTTCATGTCAAATCCCATTTTGAAAGATAGTGATCGACGGTGATGTACAAAATTTCTCTTTCAATTTACTAGTTTCACACATGCCAGCTAACATAGTTCAGTGCCAAATTATGGTCCTACAGAACATTTATGGTTGCATAATTGTCCGACCATATGCCACCATATGGTTTATAACTGGTTAAGGATGAGTTTAATAGTACCTTAATATGATGGCTCGTTGATCTTCATTCATTTAGTCTGAAAAGATTATTACTATTAAAATCGGATTCACATAGCAATTTGCCACAAAGTCAAACATTAATAAGGTTAATATTTAACATCTAGTCTTGCAGACAAAGCTAATTATAAGAAGGGCCTTTTTGGATGTCTAACACCAAGCATCAACACCTCATAGATGAGACAGCCAGTTGCAGTTCCATTTGAATAGTCTCAAAGTGGGAATGTCATCTGCTCTCAAAATTTCAGGAAGTAAATACACCTACAAGGTGATTTTTATGTCCAGAAAAATCATATCACTAGCTATGCCCTCAAGTTTTTCCTGGTGCCTCCCAAACTCCCTATCTAAGTCACTATTACCAAGAGGAAAAACTTATGTCCAGTAAAAATTATCTCGCTAGAAGGAATACCACCACCCAGAGTTATAAACAGAACCTAAATATCTATGCTTTGCTACTTCGAACTGTGAGCAGAGTGATCGACTTCATATTACATGTCAATTAGAAAACATCAAACAAGATTGATAAGGATAAGTAAAGTAGTGAAATAATCTTCAATCATCTGCTCTGTTCGAAGCACGGGCAAAGCAAAGAGATCTAAAGCTCTAACCATCAGCTCTGTTTAGAGCATGATCAGTCCCTCAACCACCACCACAAATGCAATGAGCACAACCAATTAAAACACAAGCATTCATCTCCACCGACATTTCATCAGCTAAACTCACAGATAGATCAGATCAATAGAGTTAAACCAAGTCGAAGAAAAAGAAAGCATCCGCGCCTAAATCTGCCTTTCATATACTAAATAAGACGCTTAAGAATCAAGCATTAACACCAAAAAGCTAAATCACTACAACCCAACAAGAAACCGAATCACTCAAAGCAAAGTCACATGGATCAAAGCACTAAAGTCTGGAACCAATCAGATTCGTACCAGAGCTCGTAGATCTAAAGAGCACAAGTAGAGGTTCGGAGTGAAAGAGGGTAAGTGCTTGGGGGGAGCAAAGGTGGCACCTCTCTTGGCCGGCGGTGTCCCAGATCTGGGCCTTGACGCTCTTGTGCTGGATGACGAGGGTTCGCGTCTGGAACTCCACTCCGATGGTGGCCTTGGAGTCGAGGCTAAACTCGTTCCGCGCGAACCGCGCCAGGATCTGCGATTTCCCCACCGCCGAGTCCCCGATCAGCACCACCTTGAACACATAGTCGATCTTGTCACTGCCTCCGCCCGCCATTCCCGCCAATGCTCCACCACCACCGACGCCGCGCTCGACCTGCTCTCTTCCGTTCCGGTAGAAGAGTAGAGCACCCGGTCACCTCACACGGTTGCGTCCGACGCCAGGCAGGACAGGGGTCAAAAGTCAGGATACTTTTTGCCGAGTCCGCTCACCATCTGTGAGCGGTGAGCAGCCGAGCACCTCCCCGATCGAGAGCAACACTTTACCTACCATTTATGTTGTTACCGGAACAACTACCTACCGAATTATTCGGCTTTTGCAAGCGGGGCCGACCATCGGTCTCGATACTTGGTACACTCTAGTGTAAGATTGATGGGTAGGTTAAGCAATTTGGACATGCTATCACAATCCTGTCCGCCCGCCGTTCTCGAGACACGGAAATAAGTGGTCGGAGATGGAGTTCATCAGCCACTGTGCGGGCGACCGCATATTGTTTTCATGTACGCAATACGCCTGAATTAAAACAACAATATTTTTTAAAGATAATTAACCCTGAATTGCAAAAGAAAAAAACATTAAGATTTTTTTTTCTCTTCGTGTAAATAAAACATGATGTGTTAACACCAAATATATGAGCTATAAGAAATTATAATATTCATGTCAATTAAACAAATAACAATATATTTACGGAAAAAACCATAGTTATGTAGGAAAATAATTTCAGTGATCAGAATTGATGTGATTAAAAATAGCCCTATGTATCAACTAAAATATAACGTGGAATTATAAATTTGGTTTTAAATTTTGAATCAGCCATTCAATCATCCATAATTTTTTTTTATCATAAAATATTTTATTTTCTCACAAAATTTTTAAATGACACTCGATCCACTATAGCATTCGATCTCATCACAATATTTGCATTAGGAGATGAGAGGGTCGGATAGTGGATATCCGGTGTGTACCTAGTAAAAACTTCTCTAATGTTTAACTTAGTAAGAATATTTTATTATGATGATAGCGTTATATAGTCGGACGTTTCAATATGGTCTCATAAGCATACATAGAGCACGTTTATAAAAGGAAAATTAATTCATAAAACTATTTTACGAAATAATCTAGGGGGCACATATGAAGCCATTTAGCATTACAATTACAGGTGATATAACAGGTATCACCCAGCATATAAGACGACGCCGCATAGCATAGAGCCGCTCTAGAAAATTTGGAACGGTGCTATGCAACATAGATCCATGCAGCTCGGTCGGCACTCACACATGAATTATAAGTCTGCTGCCCCAATGAGTCGATCGTGTATGATCGACCTTCGTTCGTAAGTATAAAAGTCGATTCCTTAATCAACATTAGGGAAGACCTTGAACACTTTAATTTGATTTAACCTCACTTAACATTGACTTGATTTGAGGAACAAAGTCAGGAAACCCCCTCCCGGCTTTGGCCTTTATACAAGGATTTGGAGGAGAAGAAGAAGTAATCTGTCGAAGGAGAGATCACACTTGGGAGACAGAGTTTCGACTTAACTCGACGTGACATCGTTGTTCCTCAGCCATAGCCTTTGTATGAGCAACTGTCTGCATTTAGGATCGGATAAAATCATATTGATACCTCAATTACGGTATAAGAATCCTCACAATACGTGACTGAATGAGCCCGGAATCATTTGTCACGAGGACAATGTTATTGATGCTGGCGCAATGTATCATATATATAAGAATCTAATTATATGATAACTAGATTTAAGAATTTATTTATATTAAACTCAATTAATCCTATGACACGTGTCACATGCAACCACCAAACATTTTATTACAAAACATAAAATAGAGAAGAGAAGGAAAACAAACTTGGTGAATTTAACTCATTAATATTTTCATCAACTATTGTTGCTCTTCATATATATATATATATATATATATATATATATATATATATATATATATATATATATATATTTATATTCCAAAAAATAGAGAAAGCATGCTCACTGTCATGTTAGGAGGACCTGCAAAGAGAAAATGCTATTATCACGTTTTGTTTTAGTTATCTTTCTGTATTTTGTGTGTGTAGACTAAAGACAAAACTCTAGTATTAATAACTTTAAAAGAAAATTAATTGAGAAAAAAAACTGCCTGTTCTCTCTCATCCGTGTAAGTATTTTTGTTTGTTTAAGATACGTAAATTTTCGCTACCCAAAAATGTGATTTATTAACCTAATAAGTTTTATCGTTAACTTCGCATTATGTTGCCATAAAGAGAGATAAAAAAGATATATATTCCCATCAAGTAACGGCCGACACAGAAGAGTTCGTATCAGCGGTAGATGCGTCCGAGAATTGTAGCGGCCGTCATCATGACATCATTCTAAAAGCATAAAGTTTGTATGCGGGAGGGTAAACTGCGCATAAGAGGGCGATGGAGCCGTCAGAAACATGAGCGAGCCGCGCAGCGTAGGGGGCGAGACGATGGACGAGGAGGAGCACGAGGTTTACGGAGGAGAGATCCCCGACGAGGCCGACATGGACGCCGACGTCGACATGGCCCTCCCCAACGAGAACGCCGCCAAGGTAATTCTCTTTCCGGTCACCCCTTTCCCTTCTAGGAACCCGCGGAACCCTAACCCTAAATTCTTAACTCTGTCGGTTCGAATCAGTTGCAGGAGCTGGACGAGATGAAAAGGCGACTCAAGGAGATGGAGGATGAGGCCGCTGCCCTCCGCGAGATACAAGCGAAGGTCGAGAAAGAGATGGGCGCCGTCCAAGGTCCGATCTCCTCTTCCCCCTTCTCCATCTCTATGGTCTCATCCCGTTCTCCCTGATATGGTGAACCGACGCTTCTGATTTGTCTTTTTAGTTATGAGATGTTCGATCGATATCATTCTAGAGCGTGATCGGTGCATCAGTGTATGAAAATGCTCTTATGTTGTAGGGAAATGTTATGAGAAGATGTCGGTGACGTTTTGGTACGTCTAAGTTAGTAACATGAGGTTGATGAGTTTGGTCATGAGTGGTCAAAGGGGATCCTCAGTAACTGTACTAAGAGCGAGTTTTTATATATGATGTAGAGGGATAGCAGAGGGGCGGAATATTCTGTGGGGAGGTATAGCTCTTAATCGCGTCTCTCAGCCTATATTTGTCCTTTTGTTAACATAGATGGCAATAGAGGATGCAGCCCACAACTGTCTGCTTTGTACTCGTGTCCACACGGATAGACCGGTGGGGGGTAATTTTTGTCTCTTTCTTCTGGTTTGGATCTCACGTGATGGTGATTGATCGACTGATCGACGATATCTTTCATATCAGAAAGTTATGAGATGGGGGTTGGAGTTTCATTAGTTCTTTAGTTGAGCCATAGGGTTTTGACCCATCTCCCTTTATCGATGATTTGGTGCTTCTGGTTTGTTGATTTAGTTGTGGGATGTTCTCTTGATGTTATTATCAAGCGCAATCGATGCATCAGGATGGGAATTCAATGTCCATGATGGAATCTCATTTGTTTTACTGTACCTATTAGTTTACAACTTTCCTATGAAAATTCATGCACAGTCCATTTAGTATAATAGTTGCAAAAATCGTGGCAAATGATTTGATTTCGAGGTTTAGTGTGTTGTGAATTAATTCCTTAAGTTTAGTATACTATGGTTACTCGTGGTGAACAATTTCTTGGTCCACTTTTCATGCATAATATTGAGATTCATATCACATTGAACCTAATGCCTAAGCCAACTTATAAAAGCAAGCACAATAAGCATTTATACCAATTCACTTCATCCTTTACTTCCTTACCTGAACTATTCAGGACATCACATTGGTAGTGTGACTGTGTCACAGCGCAGAAGATGTTGATACTGATTAGCAGTTTGTTTGTTTATTGTATTGTTGTGCTGGGATTTGCAAATTGACATTGCTTTCATTGTTTCCAGTAAGTTTGATATTAAAAACTTTATGCTTGGGTATAATGAAAAGGCATTCTGAGTTATTTCCTCTTTATAATAGTTCCATCATGTATTTATTAATCTTCATTCTGGAATATGTGTAGAATCGTCTAGTGCTGCAGCAACTCAAGCAAGCAAGGAGGAGGTTGATGCACGCTCAGTATTTGTTGGCAATGTGAGTTGCGTAATTTCACTATTTTGTGGTTCTGTTGAACTAATATGTACTCATGCATCTCTCCTAGAATGGTTATGAATGCAATCTCGTGTGTTGTGTTCCTTTTTATTTTGGGTATTTGCCCATTGTTGACTTCATTAATACATGTTATGGATTTTGTGGCACCTTTTGATGCTTTAGTTAGGCTCTAGAGCCTTATCCACCTCACATATTTTTAAACCTGACCCGAGTTTGGCAAAACCAAAACCGGTCAACGGTTCTGAATCGGAATCAGGATTGGGTGGTTTGGTTCCCCCCTTTGAATCAGATCCCACAATTCCGGATCGGTTTCGAATTTGGGTGAAGAAAAAGGGAAATAGTCACATGATGTAGCGAGAGTCAATGGTCAATTTGACCATTGCAATGATGATCAAAAGACTATTCTGCCCCTTCCAATGGCTTAATAAAAGGTTAATTGAAATGACATTTTGGGGAATTAAAATTATAAAATTTGAATTTTTAAAGGATTGTTTTGTCCTTTCTAACAACTAAATAATGACTAAGAAATTATGAAAAATCTATAAATATCCTCCTCTATTTCATTCTTCTGTATACCAAATTAAAACCAATCTCTTTACTCTCTAGTGCTCTCTAATTGCAATAAAAATCTCTCTAATGCTCTCTAATTGCAATATGACAATCTCTCTATTGTGCTTTAATTGCAATAGCAATCTCTTTAATGCTCTCTAATCGCAATATGGTAAGTGAAAGTTCAATGCCTCCCAACTTTAACAAGCACCCAGCCATGGTACGAATTTAAGGAAGTCAACATTTCCGCATGGAGAAAGAAGATATTACAAAGATCCATTTCAAGAAATAAGAAATTTTGATGGTTCATTTCCGGAAATTTATAACTATTGCTCTCAAAAGTATTAAATTAGAGAAGGATGTGAATATGAGACGTTTAGGAAGCACATCGACAAATTCCAATGTCAAATTGTCAAATACACAATTATTTTTTAAAATCCAAAATTTGCATTATGTTTTTAAATTTCTCAAAATGCTTCAATTAATCGTTTATTAAGTTGTTGGATGAGGCATAATGGTGTTTTTACCATTATT